TGTTAATTGATTCCCCGGGGCTGATCCAAGGGGAACTTTGGCACAAATGCTCCTCGTTGAAACTCAGCCCAGAGAAAACGGTGCAGCTGGAGCAGGTCAGCATCTTTCCAATCGCGTGGGCAATCCTGCAGAGGCAAGGGGTGGCAGAAGCGGTTGCGATCGGTTGTATAGGAGAGATATCGGGACATAGCTAGATCGACATATATGCTTTAGCCGACTTAATTCTGAAACAGGCACCGGTCCTGGCTCGGGAATTCTCCAATCTGAAGCTTCTCAGGTGGTGTTGCCTCGATATCCCGGTCAATACTATGCGCGTGTAGCTGAAACTTTGAATTGTGCAATCCACATATGGGTCATGGGTAGGCACATGAAACTTAAATTGACTAATCATAGATACAAGTAGTACTAGTAGACAGGAAGGAACAAGGGAAACACTACTGCTAGCTTATAAAATTGGTCAAAGGTGCTCGCTGTTTCTTTTGTTCGTGGATGATCTTCTTAGCAAACCGGTACGGGTAAGCCTGGGTCCTGCGCAAGTCCTTGCCCCCGGTCCTTGGCCATCAAAACCAGGACGTGCCATTATAAATTTAATGCATGACTCTTGAATCGAATATTTATGATGTAGATGTCAAACTAATTCAGACATGCAATTTGAAGTCAAGAGTCACCGAGACCTTCTTCTGCCCATGAGACTTCTTTACATGACTCTTCACCACAATTTGGATGCCCCGTCGCACTTGCAAAGCTCTGATCTTTGCCAACTGCCCACGTGTGATGGTGTTGGCCATCTTCTTGATAGGCGGCCTTGGAACGGCATGCGCAGCTGCACCAAGAATATGTTGGCTGCTCAGACACCACTTTGAGGCAAAGGCCAGCTGCCGAAAAGTTGCGTCGGCTTCGCCGACAGGTGTCCGTACAATCCCATCCACCTAGAAAGCTTGCCAGGTATATAGTATATGAGTCTACTAAGTTCCAGGAATTAGTTGATATCATTAATTGGAACTTAGAAGTAAATGATACCTTTGGGGAGTGGCTGTGCTCGAAGGTTTTTGGCCCAGCGCCTAAGGGTGTGATGGTGCGGGGTTGCCCATAGGATGGTGAACATCCGGTTCACCTTAGCCTGTGCGGCGGCGGCGCATGGCTGGTGGTTTGCGCCAAATGCCACGGAGGCAGGCGCGGCCGAAGAGGCCAATGGATGGAGGGGACGCCTCAAGTCCCAGTTCCCGACTTGGGGCGCGGGCTTCGACAAGTTGGAAGCCGACGCGACGGCTTTTTACGCCTGGGCAGCATCGGGCGTGGAAAGCGCAGGGACCACCTCCTTCGATGTCGGCCTGTGGATGGTGGTCGACACCGCGGTGGGGGTCCTCGGATGGTGCCTGTTTGGGGCTTCATGGCCCAATGTGAGGTCAGGGTGCCGACGAGCCCTACAGATAGCTTTGGTGCTTGGCATGTGCTTGGTGGCACACTACATTTGGGCAGTGTGCTACCCGGTGGTGTCAGTCGTAGTGGCCCTGGTGATGACGCTCCTGTGGGTATGCAGGAAACTGCTGAGGATCATGGGGGCATCCGCCTTCTGGTTCCAGAGGGTGACAGGAGGCTCACCTGAAGCTGCAGAGGCTGAGTTTCATGGTCCTGGAACGGGACGTACGCCAGAGACGTCCCAGCTCAGGGCTTTCAAGAGGACTGGGGAGGCGCCCAAGATGATCGTGGTCAAGCGCAACGACGAGGTGGCGGTCCTCCAGGTGGGGTCTGACAGTCAGACCATCAAAACGCATGGGCTCTACATCCCTGTGGAGCCGGGCACAGTCCGTGGGTCGGTGGGTCTGGTCAAACGGCTTCGGACGGCGGACCGGATCCACCTTTGCCGAAATGAGGCGTGCACGGAGGAGGGTGGCGAGCACTTCACTACGTATGGACTGGTGAGGCAGAGCAACCCGGAGGTGTTCCAGATGAACCAGGCGAAGCAGGGCGCGAGGAGCGCAACCAAGCAGCTGTGGGCGTGGATCACCGGGCCCCGAGCTACGGAGGCCACCATGCAGGTGATGCAGCGCATCAAGGAGCTTGGGTCGGAGTCCGAACAGGAAGAAGAAGTACTGAGTTGCGCAGCGAGCCGGGTCACTTGGCTCGGCAGTGAGGGTGGGCCTAGCTATTTAGCTCCCAGGCCTTGTGAGGCAAAGGCCGCACATTTTGAACAGGTCCTGACGGAGGACATCCCAATAGGTTGTACGAAGTTTGCACTTTGTCCCAGCCACTCCACAAAGTACATGGTTGAGAGGTACAAGGATAAGTGTAGTGTCAATACCTGTAGGAGGTTCGGTTCTAAGTTCCAACACGGAGTGATGTGGTGTGCTGAGCATGAACCTCGGACTGCACAACGACCTTCTACGCCGCCGTCGAGAAGATCAAGGTCGAGGTCCCGGGGCAAGGTCTATGTCGTTGAGGATGAAGAGCCGGAGGACGTCATGCAGGAGCAGGACGGGGAGGACGATGAGGAGCCACCTCATGATCTTCTTCGTCGGGTGCAGGAGATTGGGGAGGCGCGGAACTCGAAAAGCCGACGCACATCCAGGTCCCCAGGCCATACTCCGAAGAGCTCAGCCATCAGTCGGAACCTGTCCAAGATGGGTATGCTCAGCTCCCCGGGTTCGGAAGCAGCACCGGGCCTACTCGAGGAGTTCTTCGACAAGTTCGCCGCAGGAAAGAGTGATGGGCTTCGAGAACACCAGGTACGGGCCAGGTTGAGTGAGGAGCGCATGATGGACAAGGAGGAGCTCCTGAAGAACCTGATCGCTGAAGGGGAGTTGGAGCAGGCGCAGGGGCAGAAAGGGCTCACCAGGTTCTTGACGACGTGGCGGGCGGAGCTGAAGAGGGCGGAGCAAGTAGGCCAGGAGTCGGAGGCGAGCGCCTGGAGCGTGATTGATGGGGGCGGGCTACGACCAACGCCACTCAGTTCGACGGGACCAAGTTCACCCCCACTTGGGTGGGCGGCCTTGTTGCTATGTAGTTAGCCAAGATGGTGAAGTTATGAACTTCGCTAACCGAAGTTATAATTTGGCTAACCTAAGTTATAAGTCGGCTAAGGCCACCAACTTACTTGGCACAGGTGGGCCAACTTACAAGTAGTTAGCAAGAAGGCCATCTACTTAGCCGGAACTTGGCCGAGTTACAGGACAAGATACTAAACACGCTAGGTGCAATTGGGGAAGTTGTGTAAGTGGGCCAAGCCTACTTAGTAAGTTTCCCGCGGCAAACTTAGCAAGTCCACCGCGGTCCACTTAGCAACCTTGCCGGGGCCAAATTAGCAAGTCTGCCCGGCCTACTTAGCAAGTCCGCCTGGTCTACTTAGCAAGCCTGCCCGGCCCACTTAGCAAGTCTGCCCGGCCCTACTTAGCAAGTCTGCCCGGCGTACTTAGGTCGGAGCCGAGCGTGGGGGAGGGGGGGCGGGAGCAGCGAGCAGCGAGAAGCTGATGGAATTACTACTGCAAATGCGCCGCAGAACCGAGGGCATCAACCGGCGAGTGACCGGCGAGTGAGAATGAGGAAATGGAATGCCTCGCCATCGAACCACATCCAAGCTCAGACTGTCTTACGTAGTTCGATACATATATCGAACTACGTAAGTATATATGCATCTATCTATATATATATATAGATATATATATATATATGCATATATCTATGTGACATGAGTGATGCGTGTACATATATTTTCGTTTTTTTGGCGTGCGTGTGTGTGTGCACATATGTGTTTTTATGTATTTTTTAGAGACGCTTTTGGCGGCGCCTGCCTGCGGCCTGGCCACTGCCTGCCACTGGGCAGGCCCGGTGGGATGCCGGGTGGGGGGGGGGGGGGGGGGGGGGCGGTGGTGGCGGTGGCGGTGGTGGTGGTGGTGTGTGTTGGTGCGTGGTGGTGCGTGGTGGTGTGGCGGTGGCGCGGCGGTGGTGTGGCGGTGGTCGTGGTTTGGTTACCCTTGTTTTTGTTTTTTTATGGGTATCGGTCTATAGGTGGGCCCACCAAAAAACCCCCGAAGAAGTAGGGGACCCCCAAACCCCCAAAAAAGGGAACAATGCTTGCATGATTGCTGACTTCCATTGTTGCTGGGCACAGTGCTCGCAAAAACGAAGAGCTGGGCCACTGCAAATGGCCAGTTTGTAAAGCGTGCTGGGCACCATGCTCGCATAGAGTCTATAGGGCTGGGCTGTCTAGCTCGCCAACACTGCTGGGCATCATGCTCGCACAGGCTCTATTGGGCTGTTTTGCTCAGCCAATCTCATGGAACTATTGCGCTGCAATGCAGCAAACCAAAATACAAACGAGTACACTCAAGTCCTGACGGTCCTGACAGCCTTTCAGAAGTTACAACTAAGACTTTTGTGTGGCTGCATGGTTTGTTATGCCTTAGTTGATTTTCATGCCGTTCAGACGTGCAAGGTTTGGAGAGTGAGTTCAGAAAACTGTTGGATTCACGCAGCGTTTTGTCAGCAGGGCTTCTAAAGTGGACTGATCGAGTAGTGTCAGCTTCATCCATGCACCCTTCATCCCCGACGGTGGAGAAGCGGGAGCGAGTGCTTGCGGCACACAAGCGCATGTCGAACTACCAGACCTACAAGGACTTGAAGACCGATGATACGCCTGATACACCGAGACCACTGGCCCATGGGAGCAAAAGGTCTTGGGAAAGCTCCATGTACATGTGGCGAAAAGCCATTGCTGACGTAGCAAAGTCTTTGTCTGAGTGAGGAAATTCAGTTTTGCCTAATTAGCCGTGGTCTTCACCATTTGATGCATATACCGAGCATAAAAGAATAGAGATTGATCGCGTTTTGCGAGAGATTTGTCTAGTAATTGAGTCGATGGTCTGGTTTGAGTGAGATACCATGAGCTGACATGACAATTTTCGGACACCTGCCATTGTTTGCATTGCATGAGCGGTGCCTGCAGCGCCTCCCCAAACAAGTTTCAAGTTTTGTGATTGGCTGAACCTCATTCCTGTTTTGCCATGCCGTTGGATGTGGAAACCCGCAAGCTTATCGAGCGAAGGATTCAAAGAGCCGAAGAAGGATACTTAGTGTTCGAGACTGCGGCTTTGCTGAGAGATCTAGAGGAGAAGAATTTGGTGTATAGATCACAGATCCAACCTCGCTTTGTTCACATCCATCCCCTCAACAGGGATGGTATGGGGTGCGGTGGCACGGATGTGCGTGCTCTTCTTTCTGACATAGTCAGTGTAGGCTTCGATTGGTCCCAACCACAACCTGTGGCAGTGGAGCTGCAGGATCCCACTGAGATTGCGGAAGTGACAGCTTTCAACGAAAAGCTGGTCATGTTGAGTGGCACGGACAAGCACACCAGCTTGGCACCAGTGGAACCAGCATCAGTGAAGTTTGCAAGCTTGAGCAGCAGCCATACGAATATGGCTTTGAGGCTCTTCGCAGCCTCCATGCCACATGTTGGGGACGAAGTGTTGCTTGTGGACGGCAAGCTGTCGCTGCACCAGCTGCGCTCACATGATGCAAACTTCGCTGAAGCGGTTGAAAGAGGCCTGATGTGGACAATTGTGAGCAACACCGTAATGGCTGCTTACCCAACCCTAGCACACCTTCTCCAGCAGGCCTTCAACACAAGCAGCCAGCTGCAGCGAAAAGAAGGAGAGCT